GTGGGTGAATCTGTTCTTATCCAAAATGACACATGGAAAGTGTATTGTACAGCTGATGTCCGGTTTTGCAGGTACTGTGTGGGCTGCCACTTCCTCCTCACAGCTGCCGATTTTTCGCTGAACCCCATCTCTATAAACTTCTATGGAAACCCATTTCTGCCACATAGGGGGCCTTTGATTAATAATAATCATTATATACTAAGTCATAATTCATAAAATAAAATAAAAATCATTATGAAGTCTTTTTTGTAATAATTGACTTTTTAACTTAATATTGACATCATCTTTTAATTACGATTTAGTATGCCTTTTCATGTCATAGTTTTAACTTTTTCTCATAATTTTCGACTTAATTTTATAATTATGACATAGTGTGCCATGAAATTGACTTTTTAGCTTATAATTGTGACGGTGTGTGAATTTCATTTCAGTAGCCTTTGTGAATAACAACAACAACAACAATAAATATTTTAGTTTATATATTTTGCAGAATAATCCCAAGTAGCCTATTGGTGCAGTCGATATATTCTCAAAGTTTAATAGCGTAGAAGAAGGGGAAAAAAACGAGCTTCAAATAAGAAAAACCGAGACCACGCCCCTTGAACGCAATAGACTTGCCAATCTCTTTCATTCAAAAATAAAATGTTCTCGTTCCAGGTGTGAGGCGTTTGCGTACTATAGCAATGTTTGACGTCTCTCCAGGTCACAGTGTTTGCAGTGTTTCCTGTTTATGACTAGTATTATACAACCTCAATACATACCTTGAGTTTCCTTTTCTCTCCCACTTCTACGTCAGCGTATTTATGATCTTGAGGTTTTCAGGAGTGCGTCTTTTATTCGTCCGCGCTTACTTTCAGATTGTCTTGTCAAAATGTGACTCTCTTATTTCCTTTGTAACTGTGTTTACTCTTTTTTTCTAGCCTAGAAATATGGGTTTCTAGTTGAGTTTTTATTTGAAAACTTTCCCAGTGTAGTCATTTATTTACCTGTTAAAATGTTGTGTGATGAGTTGGCTGCGTTGGTGCTGGAGGATGAAGAGGAACGTATGGACACATCTGACACACCATGGTGCTGGTACTACAAGGCAAAGTGTGGTGTCTGGCACAGGGTTGAGGTAATGTCTTAGTTTAGCAATATATTCACTTTCAACTGTTTGCTCTTATAATTTATTAAAAATGCTTTTCTTAGGATGACCCAACGAGTTTTATGTCCAGTGATGATCTGGAGAGATATTACCTCAGAAACCCACAAGGTGTTATAACCATGACTACTGCTGGAGGTCAGTTCCAGATTAACTTTGCAGGTAAACAGTGATGATACCCTTACAATCATAACATATTTTAGGATTACTTTAACTGCATTTTGAAGTAGCTACATATAATGTAAATTAAATAAGTAAACAGCCAGGTTGTATAAACCTATGACAGAATAATAAAACCAACATCTGTGTTCATGTCATTATCAGTCACTGTTTTTTTAATTATTATTATTATTTAATTGTGTTTTTATTATTATGTTCAAATTTAGCAAGCACACAAGTTAACTTAAAAACTGGGAAAGAAAAACGGATTAAACGCTCATTTCAGACTGAGAATGGATTCAGGTGAGATATCTATCTATCTGTCTGTCTGCCTATCTATCTATCGGTCTATCTATCTGTCTGTCTGTCTATATGTCTGTCTATCTATCTGTCTGTCTATCTATCTATCTATCTGTCTGTCTGTCTGTCTATCTATCTGTCTGTCTATCTATCTGTCTGTCTGTCTGTCTATCTGTCAGTCTGTCTATCTGTCAGTCTGTCTCTCTGTCTGTCTGTCTATCTGTCCGTCTATCTATCTGTCTGTCTGTCTGTCTATCTATCTATCTATACCTTTATTGTGATTGAATAAGAAAGAATCAAACAAACAAACAAAAAAGGAAGGATTTGGAACTCATTCATAGTTACTGAAATACAACTGTGTGAACCTTTGTGGGGAAACTGACTTCATACTTCTACTAACACCAAGTCGCTTCCAAAATGAGTAAAAAATAAATAAATAAAAATAAAAAAGAGACATTAGTTTATGTCTAAATGTTTTAGGCCTATACACAATGCATTGAAGTATGTGCATAAAGTGCAGTCAAGTACCATGGTGCATTCAAGTCAATTTCTTTTTCAATGAAACAAAAGTGAAACTAACCTTGCATATGTTTTGTGTAACAGATGCAAATGTGATGAGATTTCTTCATCTCCACCAGCACGCTGGAAGGATGTTGATCCCAAAAAGCCTTATCAGGTAACAGGAAGTGCTTATAATAGTGTTACATTTATATTCTGACATTCTCTCTGAAAAAAAAGTGTTCTTATCTCAATCAGTTAATCTCTCTGAGAAAAGATAGCAGTGAATATCAGGCGGTGGAGAGATTTGTCAGGGATGTTGGCTTACTGCATGATCCCATCATTTCCATCAAAAGAATACAGAACACGGACCTTTGGGAACTGTTTTGTAGGTAATGAGAATATCTTGCTCCATCTAGGATCATTTTGGTGAATCTCCTGAAAACATGTTTCACGTTCAAATAAAATGAACCCATGTGTGTATATATGTATGTATGTATTATTATTATTCTTCTGTATAAAGAAAGTGACGCCAGTTTATAATGCCAAATTCTCTCGCGCGTTCTCATTCCCATTATTCTCAATGTTTTTCATTTCAGATCTATATAAATTCCAATTAATAATTAATGAGAATGTCTTGCTCCATCTAAGGTGATTTGGAAGAATGTTATGAAAACATTTCACCTTAAAATAAAATTATTAATAATAATAATAACAATTTGTATACCAAAAATGACACCTGTTTGTAAGACCATATTTTTCTAATTTTTATATTTAATTCCCATTATTCTAAATGGGGATTTTCATTATCTATATAAATTCCCATTAATAATTTCATTAAAAACAGATGTGTTTAATACGCATTGTCATTATAGTTTACATATTTTTTAAAACAATAATAATATTTCTATACAATCTATCCATATTCCCATTAATCATTTATTGAAAAATATTTGTGATCCAGATGCATGTTTACACATTATAATAGTAATTTTACTTGCATGTGAAATGATAAAAATTACATAAAAAATTTATTGCCTGAATTCTTGTCTTGAATCCTTAGGAAAAAAATCCAGTTGATGAGGATAAAAGGACAATCAGATATTGAAGAGCAAATGCTGTTTCATGGCACAGATGCAAAAAACGTGCACTCTATTTGCACATTTAATTTTAACTGCAGACTATCAGACAAGAAAAGAAGGGGACACATATATGGCAAAGGTGGGCTGTGCTTATAATATTTTCTTAGGTGTTTTCACATATAAAATACTTGTAGTAACAACTTTTTTTTTTTTTTGCAGGAACATACTTTGCAAAACATGCATCCTTTGCTGACAAATACAGTAAAACCAGGCAGGGAACCAAAGTCATGCTGCTTGCCCGCGTTATTGTCGGGAAGTACAAAACAGGCCATGACGATTACTGTACACCTAATGATGACCAGGATGAAAACAGACATGATAGTTGTGTAGATGATACGCTCTATCCAAAAGTTTTTGTTATCTTTGATTCCAATCAGATATATCCAGAGTACATGCTTGAATATCGCAGCAGCTAATTTATATTAAAAATGAATGCTGGGAGACCTAGAATGTGTGTAAAATGCCAGAATGTTTATATAATACAGGTTAATGCAGAACTAAGGTGTCTTTGGGAAAATATTTTTGCAAAAGTTTCGGATTTAATGGAAGTTTTAAAGAAGATTTAATGGATTTAAAGGGAAGTCATTTAATGTTATACTGAATGAATTTAACATTTATTTTCACCCAGATACAGTAAAGACCATCGGAAGCTCACTTGAAGTAATGATTTCCCCTCCACTCTTGGCCAAAAATCATTCCAAAAAAGAATGAATACGAGTTGAGATCACAGAATTGATTACCAAAGGATCATTATGGGAGTTGGAGCTCAACAGACACGTATCCCAAAAAACTGAAAGGTGCCATGTTGAAACTAAACACAATACTTTAGTGTAGCTACAGTATACATGGACTTCATTTTTAGCCTCATGATGTGAAAACGGGCACTTTTAAATAAAGAATCAATCAATATAGGCTATTTCTTGTGTCCGTGTTTTTCTTACTTGGTTTCTCAATGTGCGTTATCCATTGGTTACTCCTAATAGCTCATAGTTCCTTAAAGGAATAGTTCACCCAAAAATGAAAGTTCAGCGTAATCATTTATGCACCTTCACTATCATTCCAAACCCATATGACTTGGAACACAAAATTAGAAATTTTGAACAAAGTACTAGTCACTATTTTCCATGCAAAGAACTGGAACTGGAGCTTTCAAGCTTCGAAAAGGACATAAAAGTAGTCCTTTACAGTTCCTGTTTTCTGAAGCCAGCTTTGTGCGATGAACGAATTGCAACTCGGCATCAGTAAAAGTGGTCCATACGACCAAAATGAGGAGCCAACCAAAATCTAAGTCATTATTTAGTGAAAATCTTGACATCCTCCCCAGTTGCCCTGGGCACATTCATGAGAGATGCAACAAACCATTCATTTGAATCACATCTTTTCAGTAAATGAGTTAATCACAAAACCTGAATAATTTGTTAATGAATCAGAGTCATCAGATTCTCAAGACCAACACACTGATTCTATGATCTGGTCACAATGTTTTTACAGGAAGACTTTTAGTGAATAATATTGATTTCATAAAATTGGTATCGAAAAAAGTATCGTTCAGGAACCGGTATCGAAGTCAAGGTATCGGTATCGGTATCGATATCGAAAATTTTTGCACGATACCCAGCCCTAATAATAACACATTTTCGTCTGCTCCTTGCAAACAGCTATGATTTTAGAAAACTTGACGAAGAAATTAAATGTAAATGACTTGAAATATAGTTCATGGACCAGACGGCTTTCGTGTACCAAAGATGACAGTCATACAAACGTGTAGCAACATGAGGGCGAGTGAATTATGTATTCCATTTGTGGGTGAACTACTCTTTTAAAATACAATGTGCAATTTCTGCACCTCTAGCTGTGAAAACTAATTTGAAGTCTGTTTATTTGCGTGCTCAGCATGACAATATAGCCTCGACCAAAGGCAACAGATTGAGGTAGGACTTCCTGTTGCTGAGCAAGACCGGTGTAAGATTGGTGAAGTGTTTGAAAACAATTATTATTTTTGAACAACTGTTTCGTAGAACATAAATTGCACGGTGCAGCTTTAAAATAAATTAATCATATCTTTGTCATTGACTAACCAGAACGATTCAGTCAAAGTAGTCTTCAATGTCAATATTAGGATTAAGAAGCTCCTCGCCATATCGGGATAAGTCCATTTGGTTGAGAATGAGGTTCTCGAAAGTTTCCTCCAGGTCCGTCTCTCCGATAAGGACGGCTCCCACCATTCGGCCCCCAGTCAGAACCACCTTTACATACTCCTGGCCTTTTGTACAGCGCACAAGAAGCTCATGGTCTTGACCCAAACCCTGAGCATTAAACTTCCCTAGCAAAACCACCTAAAGAAAAAGAAAAAAAAAAAGACGACAAAACAGAAAATATATATTGAGACCCTGAATATAAGACGACCGCGTTTTTTCAGATGTATTTCCAAGAAAAAAAACGTCTTATATTCAGGTCAATACGGTATTACCAAAATGTGAAAACTACTTTTGTGCCATCCACTGAGAATGCTCTTAAAATTATTCTTCAATTCCTTGTTTTGAACTTTAATTAAGGAAGCAATCAGGCTTATTATTTTACAATAAAAATGAAACAAAACAAACAAACAAAAACACAAATGAGCCATAAACATGTTATCATACAACATATGGAGTACTTACAAAAACAATAGACAACATGGATATTTTACTTTATATACATGAACTTTATTTTAATTTGATCTTATAATTTATTATTATTATTTTTTGTTCATTTTATAAATGCACTTTGTTTCATATAACATATATGAAACATAACGGCACACACATTTATTTATTTATTATTTTTTACACACACACAAGCGCACACACACACACACTATATTATTATTATTATTATTATTATGTGAATTGTGTATTATTGTGTGAATTAGTGTGTTAATGTGGCCAGAGACAATTGGATGCCCTTTTTTAAACCTCACATCTTTGTCACCACTTTCACTCCTGATGAGTGTGCATCCCTCATATTAATTTTCATAATGTTTCTATTGTGTAAATTACTTTTGAACTGCAATTCAGCAAATTCAGTCATTCCAGTTGTGACTCGTGAATAAAAAGGGAGCCCATTTTTAAATTCTGAATTCTCTGGCATTAAGTCTGAGAATAAAACAATTACTGACATTTCTTCAGAAAGAGAGGTACCAACAAGAAGAGCATACATATTTTTTAAAGAAATAGACACAAACAAAAGGACTCACCTTGTAGCTGAAGAATTTGGTGATGTGTGAGAACAGCTCAAAGCAGAAGTCCAGCTCTATAGGCTCCTCCAGAACATCTGCAGCCATACAACGTGCTGCGTACCAGCCCATCTGACGCGCCTGAGTCCACAATCGCATCTTACACATAACAGGAGAGACGTTTTAGAAAGTCAATCCTCAGTACATAATTTATACATTAATACAGTAACAGAGATGCAGCTGTACCTGTTGCCAGAGAGCGCTGGGCTCCCAGCCTGCAGTACACACATCTCCAGCCGCATACACATCCTGTTCAGACGTCCGCATATGATCGTCCACTCTCAGACCATGATCTCCTGCCAATTCAAACTGAAATGAAAAAAGCCTTGAATTCTGGTGTTATCGGGCCACTTGCTGTTCATTTCATTGATAAAAGTAGCTAAATTTACCTGACAAACCCGGAAACAAATACATGTATAATATGTTTAAAACTTTATTAGTTATGCACTGACAATACTGATAAGTCAATAAATAAAATGATATACTATAATAAAAAAAAATTACTGAAAAAAATATATAAATAAATTCAGAAAAAAGCACCACTGGACATATAATACTGAAATATATCCTTGTAATATTACTAGGGTTGCAAAAAGGTGGAACATTTTCTGTAAATTTCGGAAATATTCCAGAAATTTTGGAAACTTTCCAGGATTTTTTTGGAATATTCCAGGGATTTTTGGAAAGTTTCCGGAAATTTTCCACCCCTTTGCAACCCTAAATATTACATATCCATATTTATCCATACAATAATAACCAAAATTATATTTATGATAAATAAATAAAATATAAAAGTGAAAATAAATGGGTCAATTCAAATGCATATAAATTTTTACATTGTTGCCACTGAGAAAAGGATCAGTGTTTGGCACAACGCCTGTTGCGCTAACAACGAAATCACAGCCATAAATCTTCCCATTGGTTAACTGAACATAAGCTGGCCACAGCCCTAAAAAAGAAGAAGAAAAAAAAAGTTATTTTATTTCAGTTGTAAAACACTGCAGATTAATTATTATTTAGATGATGATGATGATTATTATTATTATTATTATTAAACCTAATTCAGATTTATTTGTGTTGAGTTGGGACTGTAGGAACTCCTGTTGGGTGTAGATCTTGTCAACCTCACACTCATATTCTACATGCACTCCACTGGAATTCTGTGAAATGAAGGAAAACAATCAAAATAAGTGAAAAGTGACAATCATACACCCTGTTATGGTGACTAATGTGAAAATATTGTGGACACAAACCTGCACTGTTCCTCTTAGTTCAATCCCCTCATGCCAATCTGGGCCCAAGGCACTGCCAAGCTCCCCTGAAGCCCCACTGTGGCCTGCTATGAAACATACGCATGTGACACACTTGACAGAATTTATGTTTTTTTATCAGCTCGTAATGAAACAAAATATTGTGGTTTGGAAGACTTTACTATTATTCAACAATGTAGAAAATAGAACAACGTAAATGGCATTATTATTACAAAAAAATAATAAGAAGTGCAAGTGTCCAAACAAGGACTGGTAGTGTACATACTACATATTATGACAAAGTAAAACTGTATTTATAATTTATTAGTGAGAAAACAGGTTTACCCTTTTTACTTCATTACAGTTGCACTCATATACTTACTTTCCATCAAAACTGCCAGAAGAGGGCAGCAGTGCTCACTGTGTGTGAGTGTGGAAACCAGTGTGTAAGCTGAATTCATACCTCCAGTCTTGCCAGTAGTGTAGCGTGCTCTCTTGCAGGGCAACGCTCTTTCTTTTTTGTCAGCCTCCAGTGAGGGGATGAGAAACTGAGCAGCTCCTGCATCGAAGAAAGTGTTTCCTATGGCTTTATCCTTTATAGCCCAGATCACTTCACAACCTTCTACTTCATACCTACAGGAGCACACAGCAAGCATTATCAAATATCACAATACATCTCTCTCTCTTTGTTTTTTTACCTTGTTCTGTTCGCATTTGGACCTAGACTTCCAAACAAAGATTTTGGGTGCACCTACACATGCTTTCATTATTACATAAATAAAACCATCAATCTGTAGTAAAATCATCAAAATATGAAAATACAAAATAACACAAATGAATTTTGAAATAGCACAAATGGGAGTAATTGGAATTATGTAGTGGACATGTTAAACCGATAAAATTTATATTATATTATATTATTGTTCTTTTCTTCTTTACTTTGGTTTGCCGACATCATTTCAATTATTTTTCACATTACTGATAATAGTAAAATAATCAAAATACCAAATAACACAAATGAATTGTGAAATAACTTTATTTCATGAATTGTGAAATAAATGGGAATAGAAGAATTATGAAGCAGAAACGTATAGAAATTATATTACTTTCATTTAATTACATTTTTGATTTGGTAAAAAATAAAAATAAAAAACAATCAATTAATACACAATTATATTTCTATACAAATCTAATTCCATGCATTTAAGTGACTACTAGTGTGTTGTTGTTGTTGTGGCGCGTGTGTGTGTGTGTGTTTACTGTGCAGATCCCGTATTATCAATACTAACGATTCAGATACTTACACCAATTCTAATGCGATTCCTCCATTGCCAATGACAACTATCCTTTTAGCCTTTGATAACCGCTTTTGAAACTCCTGTGAAAATAGCATCAATCATCACATTCATGTCTGTTATGTTCAAAACACATACTATTCATTACTAATGAGTGTACCTGAGCGCTGTCTGTGTCTCGTATGCCCAGCACATGAGGGTTATCTTGGGTGAGAAGCTTGGGTCTGGCTCCGCTGCAGATACACAGCTTTTTATAATGAAACGTCTGACCATTCTCTGCTTGTAAAAGCTGCAGAAATTCAGAGAGTGAATCAAATTAAATGTAGAATATTTTAGGAAAAAGAAACAAAGTGTTTGTCTTAACATACATGTTCTTTAGCTCGCAGGAGTTTGACTGCAGATTGTAGGACTTTCAGATTGGGATACTTTTCTTCTAAAACACTGGAGGGCTGGTCCTCGATATCGAATTCTTCCAACGTCTTCGACACCTAGATGAAGAAAGGTTGTTGACAAAAAAAAATTTTTTAATACACATTTTTCTTTCCTTTTTTTAAAATTCAATATCCAGATTTTTTTTATTTATGTATAGTATTGCATATTGTATTATATTTATTACATTTTACCTCATGTTTTACCTAACTAATTTGGAATCTGTGTGTACAATTTGTATTTGTATTTTTTTAAATAAATAAAATATTTTTAAGGACGTACAATAAATGTCTTAAAATAGTTTAATTTTCCACAATAAATAATCAAAGTGCTCCTAATTAAACAAAGACACAGAATTTCAACGTTAAATACCAAACCTGTTTGAAATTTGTAACCGTCTTTACTAAGGGTGAGGCTGTCAGAAGATAAACTTCATCTGATACGAACTGCGATGCGATCTGCAAAAGGTTTCAAAGTTTTAAGTCCAGACAGTTATCAGACCAGTCATTATAGATGTTATCGATTTGTTCGTACCTGTTCTGCACAAGTTACACCTGCGATTCCTCCACCGACGATCACAAATGTGACTTGCTTATCTGAAGCCATTGAACTTCAGCACAAGTTCTCAGCTCCGTGTGCGGTACAAACTTTATATCAGCCTGAACGACACCACTATTCAGCTGCTTGGTTTTTTGACGCTTTCTTGGTCTTTTGTGTTCTCCGCTACAGATTTATAACCATATTAATCACTAAAAAGACACGTATTAAGAGCAACCTCATCCAGACTATATTTAGGATTGAACTTCCGTGTTTACCTTTTTCAGCGGACTACGGAAAGCGTGAAGGGTCAAACTTTATGCACTCTGCTATAATAAGAGATCATAGAGCCCTATATGAATTATCCAAAGTTTTTATTATTATTATTAGTAGTAGTAGTAGTAGTATTGCATCAACTTTACAACCAAACAAGGTACAAAATCACTTTCCAGAATATAACACATCTTATTCAGCCTTAGTTGAGCATAACCAAAAACAGAAAAAATAAATAAATAAATAAAACGTCAAAATAAACCAAACTAAACCAGAAATAAAAATACAAAGAAAATAAATACATACGGTGCTTCAAAAATATAATACAACAAAATGGACTTTTAAATTAAATTATACAAATCCAAGAGAGAAGTCTACTTAAGGGCTCTCTTGTTCTTAACAAATTTTAAAGATTTGTATAAGAGTTTTACCTCATTACACCATTGAATAAAGTTGGGTTTATATTTAAACCATCTGCACTTGTGAACAATAATTTAAAAAAAAACTTCCCAAAACATAACAGGAAATTAATAACCAATTCAAAATCTTTGTTTAAAAAAAAAAAAAAAAAAACTGACTACCTTCACATTGAGATGTGGGAATTCAACATCCCTGGAACATAACCAGTTTTGCATCTCTCTCCAAAGAGGTAGTACCGTATCACACAAAAAGAAAACATGATCTAACACTTCAATACTTGTTTCACAAAAAAACACAATTATTTACATCAAAATTATATTTCAATCTTAAAAATTCGTTAGTAGGGTAAATCTCATTTAGAATCTTGAAACTCAGGCAGGGGGAAAGACAACTATTTTATTTATTTATTTTTATTTTTTCAACTGTATCCCAATCTTTAAACACGTATTCCCGTCTAATTGGGTTTGGATAATAAGCCTGTAAAATAACATTTCTAATAACCGTCTAAGGAAAGCTGCCTCAATTCTGGGGAAACTTGGGAATTCACAAAATCTTCTTTAACCATTAATCTCAAAGCGACTGGAATGGCTCTAATCATTCTATTGTAAATATGAACAGTGCACTGCAGTTGGAATTTCTCACAAAAATCTCTATGTAGTAGCAGATTTCCATTCTCATCCCAAAAATGGGCAATAGCCCAAATGCCTTTGGATTTCCATTCCTCAAAAAAAAAGAATGTTCTGCCAAACATGTATCTATTATTCCAAACTGGGGTGTTATGAGCCGTAAAGTTATGCTTGAACAATAATTTCCAATAAAGCAACAATTGCTGATGGAAGTCAGAGAGTTTCACTGGTATTGAGGTACACTCAAAATCACAATGAATTATCCAAAGTTATCCAAAATCTGAATGCTTGCCTTCTTAATTAACACTTATGGGCCCTATAAAGATATTAAAAGGTCAAAATCTGTCGTCTGCAACCTACAGCCTACACTAATTATATTATATGTAGGTATATGACTAACAAAGCACATGTAAGTCATTGATTATAATTTTAACTAGTGTGGTATTTGATATTACATTTAAAGTTAATATATTGTTAATATAACATATTATTATATATTATTGATAATGTTGTTAATAGAAATTGCACCATTACATTTTTTTGTAAAATGCGATCGAAATGACACTAAAAGTATATCATAAATGCTTTTCAGTACATTTAGCTTTACACTTTAACCACATTTCAAAGACAGTAGAATTAATTCTAATATTGCATATAAAGATTTTACTGAGGAAATGACCCTAATTAAGTTCAGCTAATTGCGTTTAATTTACTTTTAATTTATTAATTTGATCTATTATTATTTAAATACATTTTCATTTAATTGTAAATAGCATGCAATTAAAGGGGGCATAACACACACAGTTTCACCCAATCTCATGTTAATCTTGAGTACCTATAGAGTAGTACTGCATCCTTCATATCTCCAAAAAGTCTTTAGTTTTATCATATTTATAAAAGAAAGATACAGCTTTACGATTCTCTCCGGAAAAAGCCGAGCTCCTGGAGGCGCGCCGTGGGCGGAGCTAAAGAGTGACGAATCCAACCAGCACTTGGGCGCCGAATGCCAACAAAGAGTTTTAGCTTTTAGTTTTAATTACTTTTTCTTATTTGTAAGTCGCTTTGGATAAAAGCGTCTGCTAAATGACTAAAAGTAAAAGTAAAGTAAAAGTAAAATTGATTATTATTACTTTATTTATATTTAATAGTATATTATTATATCTATTTTTCATATTAGTTTTAAAAGTATGCTAAACTGTACTTCTTTTTCACAATTTGGAGAAAGTTATTTAAAACATCAGTAAATACTAGATTAATAAAAATCACTTATAATTTTTTATACATTTATATTTGGTTACATTTTAATATTAGAAGTCTGCAATAAATTATGCAGCTTGAATGAATAACGTATGAAAAAAGAGTTGTTCCAAATATCAGCACTGTGATCCACACGCCGAGTGCTGCAGGTAATTACAGCTGTATGAAATGGTATAAATGTAATGTCCTCTGATTTTATGTCTGAAGAGTGTTGCTTTTATGAGTCACAGACTGAAAATAAACCAAGAGTGTCAAATGTGTCAAAACAAGTGAAAAAAATATCAGGATAACATACACAGACATGGAAGTGTTATCTGAATTATTGCATCAGTGGTGAAAATGTTGATATGTTGATAATGTTGATATGCCCTGTAGACATGTTAAAACATTGCCCCAAATGTGACACGTCAACCCCCTTATTTGATCCACAACAGAAAGGGCAGAAAGGACATGAGGATAGCTTAAGTTCATTGGACAGGAGAGTTCATATGGTAATATTCTCTTCTCGGAATATGCCTGGGTGATTTTAACCTAATGAACTGCATGTGTGGCATGCTGTTTTTAATTCTTTAGGCTAATCTTCCAATGTGTAATCTTCCATGTGCACTTGTTCCATGTTCCCCAACTTTAAATTCAAACATCACTCACAGCTAGAAACACTTTTCAGGAAAAGGGAAAAGGGGGGAAAACTGCTGAAAAGGTGGTTTATACTGGTTTGTCACTGGTCTGGACATGAGCTACCATTGTGGGAAAAAAGAAGTGTATATATAAGATATGTATATACTTTCATGATTGTCATTTTAGTTTAGGGACCAATTCTCACTATTCAGTTGCTTATTAGCATGCATATTGGCAGCTTATTAGTACTTATAAAGCACATATAATAATGCCTTATTCTGCATGACCATCTTTTAGATCCCTTAATCCTTAAACTTAACAACTAACATTATTAAGCAGCAAATTAGGAGTTTATTGAGGCAAAAGTCGTAGTTAAAAGCAAGTTAATAGTGAGAATAGGTCCCCAAACTAAATTGTGACTTAGGTTTGATAACGTCTCGGTTACGTATGGTAACCCTTGTTCCCTGAAGGAGGGAACGGAGACGTCACGTCGGATGACCGACGAATTGGGATCTCGCTTAGAGAGACC